GGGAACCCTGAATAGAAAGATGGAAAATATGTTTTTTTCTTAATAACTGAGACAATGTTATCTCTTCAGTCTCATTACTTTGCAAAGTAAAACACCATAGTGTGTACATTGAGGATTTATTTCTGTATGTGTGTTTAAATTGTTGTTTAGATGAGTTATATCCATCATATAGAGATCTTGTAAAACAGAGGTCCCAACCTTTTAGGCACCAGGGACCGGTTCCGTGGAGAAAGGTTTTTCCACGGACCAGAGGGGGTGTGGTTTCATGTGCTGCCTGCATCCAGCGAATGGGGCTTTGCTTGTTTATACGGACTGGCTGCTGGCATGCCGCGGCCCGGTACCAGTCCATGGACCGGGGGTTGGGGACCCCTGTTGTAAAAGGCTTGCGTATGTATTTAATAATGTTAAATCATAACCCTTATTCTTAAGTCACTGTATAGATGCTAGCCAAATTTTCATAATTTTCCCATGCTAATAATTTATCAAATAGGTCTAGGGAGGCCTTTAATTTACAAAACAATACTCATTTGAAAAGTTCTTCCTTTTCTAATTTAATAGAAATAACCAAAACAAAGTGGTTTCAAAACAATGCTTTTTAAAACTGTTCTAATACAATTGCTACACCACATTCCAGAGCACTTAACAAGAAATATTTACAGGTTGCTAAATGTATTAAATAATCATATAAAGAAAAATGCTTTTATTACACACCAGCCAAAAAACACAGGAACTGAACAATTAGAAACGTTAACTTGTTAAAAAAAATTAAATATTATTCAGAGAATACAATACCACAGAAACAGCACTTTTTTTAAAAGAATCAGTAAAGTTACCTATGTGCAAAAAGTACCAGTTTTAATTACCAGAAAGAAAGAATATGGGAATTGAACCCTTTGATTTGTATGTTTACATATAAAATTAAAACAGGCTTTCAATTGCACAAATCTTTATCGACCTCATATATACATGTTTAATGGCATTTTGAATTAATAAACGCCTACATTGGCAGGCCTTTAACATGCATCATTTTCCATTTCAAAATTTATGTTCACACAAAGGGAATGCTGAAATGGGTGAGAGATCTATAAAATTCTTTGAATTTATTTATACAAAGTCACAGATCATTTTAAAAGAAAAGAGGAGCTCCCTACTTGAAAAAGAATTGAATAGAAAAGAGAAAGTTGTGTGTTATCATTGTCGATCAGCTACTGAATTAAGAAATCAAAACTTCAATTTTTGAAACAATTTTGATTAGGATGCATTTTAAAAGTAGACTAGCAAATAGGTGGTCACAAAAACCTACTATGAGTGGAATTACTGCACATGCATCATTGAAGCAAAGAAGTGGTGGCCATATCCAAAAATCACAATCTTATGAATTACTTTGAAATAGGTCTATGTAAATTGTGGCATATAAAGTTTTAAAAAAGTACCTCCATTATTTACTGAAACACCTACTTCTTAAAAAAATATGTTAACTTTCCCCAATTTTTAAAATAAAATGCCACACTATAACTGCACACTTTATTTGTTAAAAGCTAGACTTGGGTGATACACATACAAAAACTTTCCTATAAAACCACTACCCAAAGGAAATGGATCCTGCCATGCTAAACAGGCAACAGACAAAGCAGTTTTATTGCTTTTTTGCTAAGGAGAGGTGAAAAAAGAAAGAGAGAAAGCCTACATCCAACACGTAACATTTTCAACTTCAAGGTAGTGTTGCCATAACTTTCACGTAAATGGGACTGGCTAATAAAACTACATTATACAACAGAATGGCAAATTGGGGTGATTTGTTAAAAAATACTACTTTGATGCAGTGGCTCACAGAAATGTTTATAAAACATTCTGCTCTTTTATCCAGTGTTGAGTATGCCGACACTCAATGCCACCTCAAATATTATTAATGGGAATTTTTCTCATGAAAAAGGCTATCTACTTTATACAGCATACAGTATCTACTTTAAAAGCTAGGGGCAAAGCCACCCTTTTTGGATAGTAAATCAGCCTTAATAGTATATGATAGGACACTTAATTGCAGGGCACAGTTAAGTAAAACCTGAACATACTTAGCTGGTTAAACTTACACTAATCACTAGTAATTTACAAGGCAGGGGACCTGCTGAGGTAATTGAGAAGTCCACAATCAGCACGCTGTACACTTGTTAGCCTTCTTGTTTCAAAGCAAGCTGCCTTTTTTTTTCTTTGGATTAACTTAAATGTTTGGAACCTATACAACGAGGGAAAGAGTTTTTTGTTTTGTTTTTAGCAAGAGTATTTGAAGTCAAATTATATGACAAAATATTTGGGGACCATATCAGATACAAGTTACATTGTAATTTATGAAGTCCAGGTAAATCCATTTCACATGCAAGGAAAGTCCCATTATCCACTAGAAAGCAGATATATGAAGAACATACTCCCCAAAAACCTATGTTTTCAAACCCAGTATAACTCAATAATTGCACAGGTGCCTGTGATATGCCAAACACAGGCTTCTTTTCAGCTGTACAGGTGGCAGAAGTCCTTTTGCGATATACTTCTTACTTCACTGGGAAAAGCTCATCAAAACTGCAAAGCATTTCCATTTATGAATATATTCTTCAAGAAATGACTCTTATATAGAGTCTATGCAGAATGTTATTATCCACTATGTTTCAGGTAGCAGATAATCAATTTAATGTCTCAGATTATGTTATTGCAAAAAAGTAAAAGATATTCATACAATTTTAATACACTAAAATCTGAATATATTACTTTTCCATTGCCATTTCAAGGATGGGAAAAAATCTAAATTAGCTCAATAAAAGTTATCTTTTGCAGAAAGGAATCTGCATATATTTAATTAAAATAAGAAATAGATTATTTATAAATTGAGATACGAAGAACTGTAGTATACATAAGAAATATTTCATCCAATGGTTATTTAGCATTTTGTTCTTGCATCTGATGCTTGCAATAAGCGCATAGATTGATATTTTGTGGGAACTTGTCAGAGAGTGAACACATTGAGAGGGAACACCCTCCCATTCACCCTCATATTTTTATCTGCAAATTAAAAGTGACATTCAAACTAGGCTATGCTGATTGCCTACATGTTAGAACTCTCAAGTTGAATAATCTCACCACTACATTTGGAGAAAAGGATAATCAGTGACACTATATATATAGAAAACATCACACAGTCCAGTTAGAATGTTGCCTTTTATATGTGGAAATGACAGCTACGATTATGAAACTTTCTTCCAATCTCTCTGAACTGACTTCTCTAAATTTAATTTGGTCATAATATAGACTAATATATATTCATAAAACAGACAATTTAGAATTGATTTGTTAAATAAAACCTTTTGTGAAAATAAATCCTGGACTCCTTTCATTTTGAATATATTGTTTACCTAAGAAAGTGAATTAAAGTCATAAGTATCTTTAATTACTTTCATGTTAGAGAACCATCCTGTCTGCCTCTTTGTCTGTACAGGGAAAATGAACTCAGGCATTTGAATCAAAACTCTTTAGGACAGGGGTGTCAAGCCGCGCCCACCCCATTGCCGGCAATGGCAAAACTCTCCCGATACGTTGTGCGACCTCACATGACATCGCGAGTTTGACATGTCTGCTTTAGGGAATCACTGGGAATACATTGTACAATAGAAATTATTCAACTCTACTGTATAGATCAATTCTTCATATACTGTGAACTATTGGCCATAATGAATTACACTCAATGTCACAGTAAAGCCTATATTTTGGTTACCTCAGTATAGTTTGCTTTTTTGAAACAGACATAAAAATATTCTATATAAGGGTTTGAAATAGTTTTATAGTTCAATACAAACCTACGCCAAGCATATAAGGATTTTTACCTGTTCAACACTGAATTACAATAATGCAGGGGGGTTTTTTGTCTCAAAGTTGCTATCAAGGCGAATTGAAGAGCTTTGTTATGCACAGACAACTGCTTATTATTATTCATCTAGTTACTTGTCTGATATGCTGGTCCATTTTCTAGATTTAAGAATAGACAAGTAACGTAGCCTGAAAGGGCACATTATTCTCTTCAATATTTTGTTTAAGCTGCTTCTGAAGAAAACTGAATAGATCTAACAAAATAATACAGAACGTCAAATTATGAACTGCTTAAGAAATAAAGAGCATATTACAAATCTGTTCTTGATTAGGAACATTAGTAAGAATACATATTAGCTTAAAAACAGTCCAGCAAATGTTGCTGCCTGAAAGAATTTACAGTACCATTATTTACAAATAAGACAGAGTGAATACAGGAAATTTTACACATTTGGTAGTTGACAAAGTTATAGTTTGCTGATAGCAGTCTATCAGGAACTGTTAATAGGGAAGACTGGACAGTCACCAGTTATTAACATCATAGGCTAGTTCTGAAAGTACTAAAATCTATATTTTAGTTGGTTTTGCAGCCAACATCCTGCCTTAAAGGGGGAAAGAAATAGACAAAATACAACAAAATGGTGCTGAGGTGTACTGTGCGTGGGACTTCCATTTAATATGATGAATCCTACTTAAAAACATGAATTGCAACTTAAGTTCAATAAAGCACATATGAAGAACTCGCACTCCTGCATTCTCAAATTCAAGATGATTTAATGATGTTATTATGATACTTCTATACATAATAAAAGACTGCAGAGCCTGGCTATTTGATCCAACAATGTATGATACTTGCATTGTCATTTGGATGAGATGTTGAATTTCAAAAATAAAAAAAAAGAAAATCCCACAACCAGTTCTGGTTGCGTGAAGAGAAAGGATGCTTCGAATTTAAACCGCAACCCGGTATGAAAGTGAAATATGGTTTGTCTTGGTCCAAACCTTCAGAAATAGTTTGTTCATACAAATGTCACCATATAAAAACTTGTTTCTTATATGAATGTTAATAATCTCAAACTTCTGTAAATGAAGGAGTGAAAAGGTGAAATAAAAATCCAGCACTAAACACACACACACACACACACACACACACACAAAAGAGCAACAACAGAAGTTGAAAGCTTTTCCCCTTAGACAAGCATGTTTCTGTACAAATGCTTTTTGTAATCTAATACTGTCTGAACACTATCAATAAAATGGCCACTAAAGCCATGATAATATCCCAGGAACATTTAAATATGTTTTTCTTTACAATAGTATGGGTCCATTTAATCAGTTTACTTTATATGCACCGGCCTTTCATCTGATTTTAGACGTTTTCTACGTGGCTGTATAAAATCTTCATCTGAATCATCAGTTATTTCAGCATCATCTTCTTCTTGCTCGAATTCAGGTAAAGGCTGGAAGATCCTGCCTGGGTATATCTCTGTAAGTTTATCTTCAAAGTATAATGCAACTGCTTTCCCTGCCTGTGCTACTTCTGAATCAACCTGCAAAGTAAAAAAGATAGTAACATTCACCAATTGGTAATGCACATCTCTTCAGCAAGTGTGCATGGTCTGAAAAGCTTACCTTCAAATTAATCTCTTGTGTTTCTGCATAAACTTGAACAACTTTCATCATCTAAAAAGGATACCAGAGTCAAAACAAAGGAAATTATAATCCCTTCTAAAGTTATGATACTGTACAGGAATGGATGATGAAACTCAGCCATGATGGCAATTTATTTCTAAAAACGGTGACACAGAGGTGACACTTCATAAGGCCCCATTGCTAAATTTTGGGTATATGATCCATTAACAAATGATCAGTTTTGTAAAACTGATACCAAGCACAGAAATCCAAAATTGAGCTGTACAGTAAATAGGATAATTGTGTTATAAATGGTTAGCAGTAATTTCTTCCATTAGAATTCCTTTGTCATTTCTTCTAAAGAAAGTGCTAACCCATTATCTTCCAGTTCAGTTCGTCTTGTCATGATATAAATATGACAACTGCAGTAAGAAAAAAGGGCAAGTTTCTTTTTTAGTCTGTACTAACTGCATTTATCTGCCCATGAAAATTTCTTTTCATCGTATGTTCATTTTTCTTAAAATTAATTTATTTTGAAAAATACAATTATTTGGCCTCACCTATTACAATCCAAGTTTAAATTAAAGTTCCAACTGCTTAAGGCAACTCAATACTTTAAAAACTTTTACATTTTGAGATTTTACTATTAGAATTGTATATGCAGGTATTAATATCAACACTTTAAGACTTTTTACATTATGAGATTTTAGTATTACAATTTTATAAGCAAGTATTAATATCAAACCAGTACAAAGATTATAACCCACTTTAAATGAAACTGAGGTTTTCAAATTGTCCTATAGAAAATTCAAGGTTCTTTTTCAAGAGTCTCTGAACATATTTAAATAAAAACTTCTAATCAATGGGAGACAGAATAATGATTTTAGATAATATAGATAATAAAGACTGGGTCCAAGTCTTTTCTATAGATGATAGCAACTCTAATTTTAGTATGATTAAATGTGGCCAATTTTCCTGGAGTCAAAAAATATCTTAGGTGCCTATTATTTCTTTTCCCACAAATATAGTGTATTAATTGAGGTTCACATGCCATATTTTTGATGTTTCAAAAACCCCATATTATGTCAGCATTCCTTTTTATACCCACATGGCCTTCTAAGTATTTTTTCTACATATCTGAAATTATCAATAATGATTGCTTTTATTTTAAGAAGACTTCGTTATCTGAATTGCACAAACTAGCAAGATAACTTTCAATTAATAAGGAATCTAACTAACTGACTGCCTTGCAGAATGGTTTCCAAACTTTTAAAAAATGCTATTTAAGCATCACAGTGTCTATTTTTAAACAACAGCTATTTGGTTATCATTAGAAGGCCAGGTATTCTACAGCTATTTCCATCACAAATTCTGTCTTTTTATACGTCATTTAGCAACTGATAACCATGTCTCCTTGCATTTGTTTAAATCTTGCTTTATTATTTATTTACATCAAAATCTTCATGTAATCTTGGATTTAAGATTACAACTTTTCAAAACTATTTATTGTTCACAAAATGCTCTAGATTTAAAGATAATCTATGAATACACCATGTATTTAATTGTAAAAATTATTTATTAATGACCTATCTTGTTTTCTATTGCTTTCAATGCCTTTTACATATCAACTAAATCATTCACACAGAAGATTTCTGCTTTTTTGCTACTTGGACTAGGTAACAATGTGCTATTAAAAAGAAAATGTCTCCACAAAATGGAGGCATTAAAAAGCTTGTGCACATACATGAATGCAACCGACCATTTAATTGGTTCACTATTAAAATCAGTAAAGAAACTAGAAGATCATGTACCTCAGTATTCAATTTACATTATTATTTCTGTATATAATAAGAGACTGCATAAGAGGCTCAATCTGTGCCCAGTCATATCTTTGTACAGCTTACATGTGGAACACTAATCTATTTCCATCCAACATTCAGAATTTGGAAACACTTGTAATTAACATCGATGTGAAGACACAGAAGAGATTTTTTTCATCAGTCAAAACAATTCTACAGGTTGGAAGTTAACATACTTCATTAAACCTTTCACAGTTCTTGAAGATCAGCCGAACATCTGCCACAAAATCTTCAGGTGTCTGATAATGTTGTGAATGTTTCTTCTGGAGTTTTTTCTTTACCGTAGATAGATCCATGGGTTTCTTTATTATTTTATAGTAATTTGGTATCTGTTCAGAAAAAAATGCACCCACATTAGAAGAGAGAAAATTTAAGAAACATACTTTTACTGTAGAATATTTTTCTATGTGAAGCATTCTCATTTTTAAAACCAGACTCAAACATTTAGAAAACATACTATAAATGTGATATTATTTTGATATTTTGATATTATTTTCAAATGTGGAAATTCTGCTTCATAGCTTTTCAACATTGCTAATCCAAGGATTTTGTAAACAGATACTTTTTTTAAAAAAGTACATACTGCAAAATACCATTCATAACATAACAGCAACTATGACTGTCAAATGTTGATCATCAATTTCAGACTCCTAAAAGTAAAAATCTGCATTTTATCATCTCGAGATAATGTGTATGAAGGCACTCACCGAGGCTGGAACTGGCTCTTGGAATTCAATACTCAGCTCATGGCAATATAGATAAAGTAGGAGGCGCTCACATTTCTTGTAGAGGAAAAACAAATTCAATTAAAATTGCTTCATTCTTAAAAGACTGAATTTTTGTTAACTAGTTATAGCAATAGCAATAAGCACTTAGACTTATATACCGCTTCTCAGTGCTTTACAGCTCTCTCTAAGCGATTTACAGAGTCAGCATATTGCCCCCACAATCTGGGTCCTCATTTTACCGACCTCGGAAAGATGGAAGGCTGAGTCAACCTTGAGCTGGTGAGACTCAAACTGCCAAACTGCTTGCAGTTGGGAGTCAGCAGAAGTAGACTGCAGTGCTGCATTCTAACCACTGCACCACCAGTGGTTATGTTTATCCTACAGTTTTCAGAAGAATAAGATTCTCAAAGCCTAATTCAGTCTGCAAAAAACCTACCAGTATCTAAACTATCTGGAATAAACAGAGATAACTTATACATATTTTAATATCCATGCAACTAATTCCTTTTGCCTTCACAGGTTTGAATCTAAACAAAGTCATAAGGAAGTAACTTTCAGGATTGTAAGGTATTTCAAAATCTATTTATGATCTGGGTTTTTTTACATTCAAAAACTTGGCATTTTAACAGGAGGTGTGTAGACTTTCTATATCTATATCCATCTAAAACAAGAAGAAAGACAGGCAGAAACCTCCCTAATTTCCATGAATATTTGAGGGGAGGGGAGGGGAAGGGGGGAGGGAGAGGGAGAGGGAGAGGGAGGGAGGGAGAGGGAGAGGGAGAGGGAGAGGGAGAGAGGGAGGGAGGGAGGGAGGGAGGGAGGGGGAGAGGGAGAGGGAGAAGGAGAGAGAGAGAGGGAGAGAGAGAGAGAGAGAGAGAGAGAAGCAAGCACAGAAAAACTTGCAAGATTATGTCACTATAGTCAATATTAATAAAGGTAATTTTAATCTTCATACAGAGTTGGTTTCTTGATTTACATAATGCAATGGCAGTTGCTGACTATATAAAATAAAATATAATTTAAATAAAGGAACATATAATACTCAAGATAATTGGGTTAAATTGATTTGAGAACAAGATACCTAAATTATGAGACACCTACCCTTTGGTCCATAGGACTCAATCCTTGTGCAGTTTTCCCCTTCTTGGTGTGCTGCAAATTATCGCAATCATATTCTACCTCAGGTTTGAGAAGATCTCGACAAAATGTACATATCCATTCTCCACTAGAAAAGAAAAAATACATCCAGAAATTTAGATAACATATTATAAATCTTCTAAATACATAAATACAAATCTCCAATTAATCAAATCATGCATGTGTATGTGTGTGTGTGTGTGTGTGTGTGTGTGTATGCGTGTGTGCGCATGCTAGTCAGTCAATTCCTGTCACAACCAACAGATCAACATTTGGTTGATTTGAAAATAGTGGACCCTGCACCTGCAGAAAAAGTGCTGTTCGAATAGCTGGAAAAATAACTTTACAACTAGGCCTTACAACCATCACAGCAATCACATGATCAACATTCAGGCACTTCACAATGGGTGTGTGTTTACAGCTGTCACAACATCCGATAGTCAGGATTGTCATTTAAGCATTTCATAACTGGCTTTTTAACAAACAAAGCTGACAGTACAGTTGCAAGTTGATGTCTTGTAATGCCTCACTTGTGACCCACAATGGCTCACTGTGGAAAGTGATGTCGTGAGTCCCTCAGAGTCACATGATGTTTTGCTTAGCTATGGAATTATTGGTCCCAGTTGTGTTTGCTAAGGAAGAGCTATCTATATTATAATCAGTAACGGCCTCACAAATAAATTGAGGATTTTGTAGAAAAAATATAGAAATAAAATGCAAATTATATCTAATATTTTTCACTAGAATAACAAACAGAAATTTACCTGTCACAGTTAGTTACTGTAATGACATAAAAGTTTGCCTACATTTTTTTAAACCAAGTGCCTTGTATATGTATGATTATGAGGACTAATTCTCCTCAAAGCATATAAGAGGTAATGGAATACTTTTTCCTGGGCACTGTTTAATATGAAACAAAGCATAATTGTTTCACACAGATCATGGCTGTTGGCTAATAGCAAAATCTCATTTTAAATATGTAACTGCTATAGTGTGACTGTATATAATAATAATAATAATAATAATAATAATAATAATAATAATAATAATAATAATAATAATAACAATAACAACAACAACAACAACAACAGCAGCAGCAGCAGCAGCAGCAACAAGTCCAACCCCCTGCTCAGGCAGGTAACCCTATACTATTTCGGACAAATGGCTGTCCAGTTTCTTCTTTAAAACTTCCAGTGTTGGAGCATTCACCGCTTCTGGAGGCAGGTTGTTCCACTGGTTAATTGTTCTAACTGTCAGGAAGTTTCTCCTTAGTTCTAGGTTGCTTCTCTCTTTGGTTAGTTTCAACCCTTTGCTTCTTGTCCTGCCTTCAGGCGCTTTGGAAAATAGCTTGATTCCCTCTTCTTTGTGGCAGCCCCTGAGATATTGGAACACTGCTATCATGTCCCCCCTCGTCCTTCTTTTCATTAAACTAGACATACACAATTCCAGCAACCGTTCCTTATATGCTTTGGCCTGCAGTCCCCTAATCATCTTTGTTGCTCTTCTCTGTACTCTTTCTAGAGTCTCAACATTTTTACATCGTGGTGACCAAAACTGGATGCAGTATTCCAAGTTGGCCTTACCAAGGCATTGTAAAGTGGTATTAATACTTCACGTGATCTTGATTCTATCCCTCTGTTAATGCAGCCTAGCACTGTGTTGGCTTTTTTGGCAGCTGCAGCACACTGCTGGCTCATATTTAAATGATTGTCCACTAGGACTCCGAGATCCCTCTCACAGTTACTACTATTGAGCAAGGTACCCCCTATAATATACCTGTACATTTGGTTTTTCTTGCCTAAATGTAGAACCTTACTTTTTTCACCATTGAATTTCATTTTGTTAGATAGCACCCAGTGTTCAAGTCTGTCCAGATCCTCCTGAATCCTAAGCCTGTCTTCTGGAGTGTTGGCTATTCCTGCCAGCTTGGTGTCGTCTGCAAATTTGATGAGTTCCCCATCTATCCCCTCATCCAGATCGTTGATGAAGATGTTGAAGAGCACTGGGCCCAGAACAGAGCCCTGGGGCACCCCACTACACACTTCCCTCCATGTAGATGTGGTTCCATTGAGGACCACATGCTGAGCACGGCCGGTCAGCCAGCTACGGATCCATCTGGTGGTGATGCTGTACTTAGTATTTATTACACATTTTAGGTCACTTTAAAACAATATTTAAAACTACCAACACTCCAAGAATACATCATTCCAATATAGTAACAACCTGTAGAGGGACCATCTCCACCTCAATATTATACTTTTAATATTCAATATTATACCTTACTACAAATAATCACACTAAGCTCTTGCAGGATGTAACGTAATAGTATTTTCATACCTTGGAAAGCTGAGAAGAGTAGGTACATGACATGTCAGATGGAAAACCTTAGGACACTTTTCACAACATAATAGATCTCCCCCATTTTGGCAAACAGCACACCAGTCTTCATTTGGGTCATCCTCTTTATTGTTGCCTTCTCCTCCAGCCCTGGCAGACCGGTGCATGAGGCTACGTACTGGAGATTTGCCATTTACAAGACCATGTCCAGACTGTTTACAGCTTTCATTCAATTCTGTTGGTTCAGTTTTTACATGGTTGTCTATACTTCCCAGTGCTTCTAATTCACTTTCCAGATGTAAGTTTGTAGAAAGTGGTGGCGTCAAACTGCTCTCAGGACTGCTAAGCTAAAATTAAGGCACAAGTTAAAAGACTAAGAAAGTTTCCATTAGGTGTCCCTTTTTCTCCCGTTTATTTTAGTAAGCTATTCTAAACATGAATACCAATAAAGGAGAATATTCGTAGCTCAGTGTTGTAATGGGGGATTCTTTAGTGCTCTAAGAGCTTGGTTGAATACATGAATAAATATGGATTCAGTTCCACGTTCTAAGACATATCAAGGTTTAACCATTGTTTATTAAACTAACAATATTTTGCTCATATTGAGCCAAGCACCCTAGTTTGCCCTTTGTCTTAGTTTGATTTATGAACCAAAGCAACTTGGCTATCTAATTATCTAATCAAGGACAGGAAATCAAGGACAGGAAATCAAGGAAAACAAAACATGGTATTAAAACAGAAATGTTAAATATTTCTAGCACTATAGTAACCTCTGTGGAAAGAGCAGCTACTCTGAAGAAAGTAACAAATATCTTCAATTCCCCCCACTGCTTAGAAATCCTGTGTTAAAATGGTATAACACAGAAATAGAATTTTACCATGCAGGCACTTCTCCTGCCATCTTCTGTTTTTTCTTGCTTCACAGGTCCTGAAAAACCACACACCTCTTCTTCTGTGCCAGGCTCTTGTTTAACTTTTACATGGTCAGATTTAAAGCTAATATTGTTCTTCTCCACAGTTCTGCCTGATGAACCACAACTGAAAAGTATATAAATTATACAAATTAAACATCCCTCTGCTAAAATTCTGAGAAATAAACATTCCCTAATCTAATAAAATCCTTCCTCCAAAAAGTGTGTAAGAAACATAATTATGCAATAATAAAATCAACAGAAGTAACTCTGCAATTAATATTTTTATTCATTAAATTTGTAAAAATTCTTTATTTTTAATATACAAATGTATACATTAATTTATGAAAGTGTGATTTCTACTTAATATGAAATCAGGGCTGTAGAATCCTAAAAATCACATCTAAAACAACTATCGAGAAAAAAACCTTGCACTTTAAACATTCTGCCTGGAATAGTAAAGTTTATTTTCAACTATTTTTTTCTGCAAATAGCTTCAAATGTTTGTTTTAGCAATAGAAATTTTCAAAAGTAAATTATATCACTGAATCATTCTTTTCATTAGTTTGTTTTGTGTTTTAATGTCAGGTTTATTTTAAAAAGTTGTTTTAGATCTTCTTTATGAAGGCATTCGTCTATATAATTAATTAAAATTCTCTCAAAATTATACAAGCAGCAAAAAATCGTGGCAAATTTTTCCACAGTAAAAATACAATACAGTTTCACATACAATACTCTGCTAGTTTCCAGTTTAGATACCATCTATCTGTATTTTATCTTGATCTTTTAGTTTTCTGTAAATCAGAGGCAAAAATGAAGAAACAATCGCCACAGAAGCAATAGTCACTACATGAAAAGACTGACACATATTAACAGTGATAATTAAGCATAAAACCAGTATGTTAAAATGCAAATATAGTACACTGAAGGAATTCCAGCAGTGGGTTATAGGTTGATAGCATAAAGCAGAAGGACAAGAAGACACAGGTCTGCAACACAAGACCTTATTTTAGGAATCTTTCAAGTTACATAAATTATTACAGAAACGATAATATCCAAAGATTTATCACAACTGTAATCCTCTTATGATTTAAGTCGTGTGTGTGTGTGTGTACACACATTGCCAATCTCTGAGTCTAAAGCCTAAAAGACATGCCAATACAACTGGATGTTGACTGGATCCTGAAAAAAAAAACCTTCTTTCCCTGTCCATTATGCTGAGGTACTCAGTGTAATAAGCCATTATGTTTCTTACTATAGGAAATAAAAAATGATAACAATCCAGTTGGCAAGTATGCTCCCACTTTCCAAAGCAAGAGAAAAACCTGAAAGAATTTACCGTACAACCATTATTGTATGGATCTCATGAAATACACCAGACTGTTTTACCCTTTTACAGGCCCTTGCCCCTATGGGTCAAAATATACATTATAGTTTCTTTTCTATAGGTCTATTAATGGAGTGGGGGTTTTTTTTAGAAGAAATCTAGTATTAATGTGAATGTTGCATTGAAAAAGAAAAAATACAGAGAGAAAATTTAGTCTGAGAAGGACCTTAAATGTCTTTGTCTTGAACATGTACTGCAGAATGAGGCTACAAATATCATTTTTTGTATTTTTACTATTATATTTACTTAGGAAAATCTAATGGTTTTTCCCCAAATAATTACTAGTGAATTAAATTGGAGAAAAGCAATTATACATTCCATGTTAAGAATAGAAGCTGTTGAAAATAAAGATATGTACAAGGTTTAAAAAAGGCTGCAGACCAGACTGCTGCAAAATATGGATGCCTTTCTAGATAACTATTGCTTAGATTTATCTATTTATTTTATTCATCACATTTCTACCTCACCTATTTAATCTAAGTAAAGAGATCCTATTTAATTCTTTTTGTAACATCTAAATAGAGAATATATTTTCTCTCCATTCAGTTACCTGTTCCCTTCACCTTATCTCCATCCAATTTTTTCCCTTCTTCCATTTCTTGTTTCTTTTCCTATAAAATTGTCCATTCCCTTTAACTCATCTCCATCTCTTTACCTGATTACTTTCTGCTGGGAGAGGGAGGAATTTATACGAACATGTGTGTACAAGGGGAAGAGAAATAGCGGGCACATGAAGTTAAGTGGAAACATAAATGGAAGGGAAGAGACCTCTTCTCAGTCAGAGAACTGTGGCAATCCTTTTTATTTTAGCTCTGTCTATTGAAGCAAATGCAACAACCCTATTTTTAGGGTTCTCTCTTCCCTTATGAGTATATATTTAATTTGAAAATGAGCACAATAAAAACATTAGAGAATTATGTTACTTCTTATATGATGCAGGAATTAAAAATAATGTATAATTATGTCTTCCACGACTTTTAATGCATAAATAAATTGTACAGCCCCAACCTTTGTCTTAAATTAGAATTTATGTTCCTAGCTATGTACTCAAATTCTCTGGAAACTTCAACATGCATTTAGAACTGAGACCCTGTTTTTGAAGCCAGTTAACTCACCTGCCTCTACTGCCTGTGCTAGATGTACTGGGTGGCCTCACAGGAGTATGAGAATTGGATAAACCTAAGGAAGGGAGGATGAGTTTATAATAACAGCATATCACAGAGAACATTTCTAGCAGTGCGCAGTTTCAGCAGGTCATACTTTAAAAATCAGTGTTATATTTTTTTATCCCAGCTATTATGAAGCTTACCAGCATTCAAACCTTACAGCCTTCTCAATCTAATTCAGCTGTCACGCTCATTTAACAAATGGAATCTATATTCATTATTTTGCAAAACCAGAGATTTATCATTTACCATATAAAGTATTATAATAACAACATATAAAGTATTATAATTTACCATACAAGTATAAAGTATTATACTTTACCATTCACCATATAAAGTATTCCCATTTAAAAGGAAAACAATGGTGTTACATTAATGACATTTATTTTGAAAATGTTTTTTGGACATTCATTGAAGACAACAGCTCGGAGATAAAAGATCCTGGTATAAATTTAAAAGTTATGACATTTTATTTCTTATGGCTTTCCATTTTTAGCTCTTATCGACTGCACTAGCTAAACCTTTTCTTCTATTGAGAATGAAGTTATAAAATTATTTTAGTCTTTTCATACATATGCTATTATATAAGGAAAAAAATCTGACTACTCATGGAAAAAACTACTTTAAATTTAACTAAACAGTTATAATATAAAAAGTCCATACATTGAAGCAAGAAACATTCAGTGACTTTACTGTGCAAAATTTCAAAATAAGTATTGGTTGTTTTAAATACAGAAATTAAAATGTCTTTCATATCTTTCTTTCTCAGCTTACCTGATGAGCCTGGAGATAGTGCTGAGGGTCCAGGAGAGGGATTCATACTGCTTATGGGTTGAGGGGGTAGATGGCTCCCTGCGATATATCTACTTAGTAAATTATCTAAGTTACTGGAACCAGCATCTTCTAGCTGAAATAAAAGACAGTCATACAGTGAATTTACCAAGTCTAAATGCAATATGCTAGAAATGACCGCTTGAAACTATCTGCATTTTTTCTGAAGAATATAAAAAAAAAAAACTAAAGCCAGCAATATAATAGGACAATGTCCTGGAAACAGGCAGTAGAACATAAGGTGGCTTCATTTCCATTATTTTAAAAATAATTTATTGTTGTTGTTATTAGTTGCAAAGTCTGGTCCGACCCATCGCGACCCCATGGACAATGTTCCTTAGGTCTTCCTGTCCTCTACCATCTTCTGGAGTCCATTTAAGCTCACTCCTACTGCTTCAGTGACTTCATCCAGCCAGCTCATTCTCTGTCGTCCCCTTCTTACAATTAATTATTCAAAAAATAACAGATGTGGGGCTCCAGATTGAAGTTAACAGGCTTCCACAACATTTCAGAATTTGAATTAACAAGGGTACATGGCAACCAGCAACTTATTTGTTAAATCTAATTTTCCCTAAGCTGAGAATCACATTCTTTAAAGCTAGATTTAATATTCTTCCATCTGCACTTCTTCAAGGCACATATCACTCAGTGTATTTGTCCATGCAGGGACAAGAAAGTTGGAATCATCTCATACCCATTAGTAGGTTGTAAATTTTACAGAGACATTAGGTCAATCTATCTTGTACCTCTAATTGATAAATTCCATGGGAGGCCAGATAAATGTTATAGCAGACAAAGGAACCATATATTTCCAAACTGTTAAAAAAGAAATTGAAATCCTTCCCCACTCTCTAGAACACTTAACAAAAAGAAACAATTTGTAAATATGTAATTTTCAATCAAGTCTCTCTTTTAAAATACTCAGGAGACAGCACAGTTGTTAGTTTCAGTCCAAAATTAATGAAGCAACTAAGAGCCGAACCCAATGCTATCCAATCAGGAGTTTATGGGGGGGAAAAATCTCATCTCCTGTTTTGATGGAAATGTAAATACACACACACATATATATATATACACACATACACACACACATATATATACACATATACACATATACATTGTCTGAAATGGTATAGGGTTTCCTGCCTGAGCAGGGGGTTGGACTAGATGACCTCCAAGGTACCTTCCAACTTTATTATTATTAG